GGAGGGGGGGGGGGGGAGGGGATCTGTACTATTTTTTTATTTAGATTGTTCTGGGTTGAGGTCTGGTCATCCTAACCCTCAAAGTAGTTTACCCTGAAAGTAGTTTTTCAAGTTGATAATGCTCAAATGTAAAAATTGACCTGAGTTGTTCTGGGCTGAGAAGCAACAGTAATGCCTCTGATGTATCACCAACAAAATTGCTAGACAGGGTAGAGTGGAATCTGTTTCTGTCTTGCAAAGTTGAGATATCTCTGAACCACTCTAAGTAAACAGTAAATACAGCCTTCCCATCATTGTTAATAAGAAAACTAAATGTGCGTTGAAAACAGCGCTACTGGAATTGGATGGTAATTCTTCCCAATTCTATTTTTTTTTTTTTTTAAAGTTAAGTCAGTTTTCAGAAGAGATCCACACTCAGTGTAGTGCAAAATATATTGGTTATTTTCTTACTGAAAGGATTCACAGATTTTATTCTCAAGTTATGTATGTGTCTTTCTATCAGACATGCGCTGGTTCGGTGGTGTGCCTCTTATTTCTCTTGGCAAAAAAACAGTGAAGCAACCGGTATATGTAAGTTTTCAATAAAACAAGACAATCCCAAATCCTCTGTGGGGGTGTGTGTGTTGGGCTTTTTTCTTTCCCCCTGGAAATCAATTCTTAAAGAGGAGTGCGTGCATGCATTACTGTTTTCTATTGGTAATTGTCTGAATTTGTTTCTCACAGGTGGTTGATGTAGCAAAGGCAATTATTAATGCAGTGAAGGATCCTGATGCTAAAGGAAAAACATACGCCTTGGCTGGGTAGGTTACTTTTCTGATTCTAATTAACTGAAGTACTTCTTTTTGGTGTCATTTTTTGGCATGCTGCACAGTACATTTAATTTCTCCATCCATGCACACAGTTTGAGCTGCAATAAATTCCACCTCCTTTTTGGGAGGAAAAATGACTCAAGCTGTTATTGTGAGTACTCTGAAAATCCTAGTTTGGGCCCCTTTGCATTTAATGTTATGTATGTGCACACAAAGAAATAGGCAGTCTTGGGAAACATGCTAGATAACATAGATTTGGAGAAAATTCTGCTAAAGCTGTGTGGAAACCACCTGGAATTAGAACGGATAGAGACAGTGAATCTTCTGGAATATTTTGTGTATAGAAGCTCGAAGTCAGAATAGTTCATGAGCATTAAGAATAAATAACGTGGCAAATGCCAAGGTAATGGGTCCATGTTTTGATACTGTAACGTAGCACTGGAACTGGTCTTCATTCATATATGTGGTAAAAGGAACATTAGATTCATTGATAAACAGTTGCTAATTAGTCAAGATACAAATGATGCTGAACAGCTCTCTTTTTTTCTATTGCATGCATATCTCTCTCTTCCCCCCCTTATACACTGAAAACGTGCATAGTACCTGGATTTTGCAAAAGGCTTGTATGAGATAACATAGTTTTTTCCGTGTTCGTTTTGCGATGCTGTTGCAGTGACAGCTCTTTATTCCCGTAGTGCAGAGATCATTGCTGGTTCGTCTTTTACTCATGTTTTTCACTCGTGTTCACTTTCTTCAGTGCTGTAACTGAGCTGTTGAGGAAGATGTTATCCTGCCAGCTAGGCTAGGTGTGCTGTATGCTGGTGTTCTGGAAAAGGCAGCAAGTAGGTCTTCAACTTGTTTTGGATCATGCTGAGGAACTTCTGCTCAAAAACTAGCAAAATAAGAGAAAGAAGCTAACAATGGCCTGAAAGGACTACTAACAGCAGCGATAAGGTTATTAAGTAACTTGAAATTGCTTTCAAATCACTGGGATGATATGAAGTGTCACGCTAAAGAACAAGTGGAAACAAATGCTAGACAGCCATTCAAAACCACTTTTTTATCAAAGAGAATAGACATGTAGGTGTCAGATGGACACAGCTAATGCAAAACCACAAAATGTGATGAAATTAACCCTTTGAGTGACTATCTTATCTCTTGGGGGCAAACTTGAAGATGGATCAATATGTACCCAAAGCCACCTGCCACAAAAGGAAGGAGAGGCACCTGTTTTTAGGTTCATTGCTGTCTCAGCAGAAGCAACTGCTCCAACAGCAGGATAAATGGAGAATTGCACACTAAATAGAACACTGCAGCCAAATGGAGGGGCAACTGGCTGAACTTTGAATGTATTCTTACAGTTTCAAAGCCTCATTTTTTTTTGGCAATTTACAGAAGGCCAGGAGTTCAGTGCCCAGGTTTCAGAGGCAGGAATTCAAGCAAGTATGCCAGGCTCTCACTGCAGGGAATACACTTTCAGGCACATAACAATGACTGAAAAGACTTTGAATAAATGATGGTCTAAACTGAAGATCTAAATCAGTGTTGGAAAACCAAAGGAACTCTGCAGTATAACCCTTGACTGAAGCTGTATGAGACGCTTTTTTATTTTTTTAAAAGGAGTTACCAGTTTGAGTTTAAAATACTAATTTTGTAGAAGAGCATTCTATTTCTGTGGTTTTGGTGGTGGTTTTTTGTTTGTTTTTTTGGTGTGGGTTTTTTGTTTTGTTTTGTTTTTGTTGTTCTTTCCTACTATATGGTGGAATAGAGTTTTAACTATGACAGCTAGTGGTATCATTGCTATTTCTGAATGACTGAAGATTTGATATGGTTTTTTACCTGTTCCCCTCTTTCCCCCATGGCACTGCTTTTGCTTCATCCACTCGTTAAATCTTCTGTCCTGAATGCTAGTGCTCTCTAGAGCTTGCTGTCTGCTAGTATTGTGGTTAATGTAATGACACTTCAATGTGATTCTATTCTTGGTGAAGTTGTATTGTTGGTAATTCATAAAGGAACAAGGAGTATTTATCTTTATTTTTACATTTTTAAGTTTGGCTATACTACACATCCTTACATGGCTCTTACATATCAGGATAAAAGTGAAATTGGCTTATACTACCTTTGGATAGGCATGAGGATGTTAAAGTGTAAGGGCAAAAAGTTTGGTAAAAACAACCTGCTAATAACTAATGAAAACGAAGGGAGTTTTTGGTTTTTTTTTTTTTTCAGCTGAGTAAGTAAATTTGACATTTACCACTTTCTGCTGTGTTTCTCTTATAAGTTCTATTAATAGAAGAAAACTTAACATGTTGTTTTAATGGTAGTTCTTTAGTGTAACTGCATAAATGCAGATCTCTCTCAGGTTCTATAATCCAGCCACCTGGATGAAGTTGATAAGGAGTGTCGAGTGTTGAATTCTTTTGAATTCTCCCAAATATACTACCTTTAAGTATATCTATTAGAATGTTTTGCCCTAATTTGCTTTTACAAACTAAAGTAGTAGTGATTTGGGGTTCTGTCTTTTTTCCAGCATTTATCAACACATTTTGTTTGTGGTTATTAGCATTGCCGTTCTTTCTGAAGAACATGTCAATTGAAGGCTCAGTTTTCATGCATGCAACCTCAGACCTTGATATCTTTGAGATCTTGGGTTTATCAAACTGAAATTCATGTTCTTTGTATCATAGTCTTGAATTTTTGGACTGTGTGAAGTTTTGCATACTTAGTCTTACTCTAGCATGGTTTCATTTTTGTGGGGGTTTAGATTCCAACAGTAATTCAGTGTCTCCTATTTTTTTTTTTTTTAAAAAAAAAGGAGACTGAAGATGAAAAAAAACTAGAGTCTCTTATTTTTAGGAGGCTCCTACCTGGGAAGTAATAAGTCTCAAGATGATTGTCATGTCACTGAGGTCTCTGCCTTAGCTGAAAAGTATAGCAAATTGTTAGGAGACACACACTTTTGGTGTGTTCATTGCTGCTTTGATCATGATCAGCAGGATGTAATTTTGAAGGTTGAAACACCAAGTGACACACCAGAGTTCAGCAGTGTGCTCGTGTGTTGTTGTGAAGGTTTTCAGAATGTTTTGGAATACCGGCAAGTTGCCTTGAAAGCCAAGGGCGATATGTGTTTCAGTCTGAGCCATCTATAGAGTATTAAAATGCTAAGGCAAAGTCTGAACAAAAAAGGAATGGGAACTCCTAATGGTATATGTTTCTCTTAAACTACTGCAGGTGTGCAGGAGACTGACTGCTTCCTTCCCTCCATCTTGAGAGGGGGAATGCATTCTTTTGGGGGAAATTTATCTTAGTTTCTTCCTCTTGCTTTTGAAGAGAACAGTACGTTCTTAGTTGAGCAAAGGCAAGTGAATCAATTTCCTTGCAGCCATTTGCTACCAAAGATGGGATGTCTTGTTAACAAACCTTTCTTAATTTTACCATTTGCTTTCTGGCTTCCTTCTATTACAAACTGCCAAGTGGGCTTGTACGAATTCAGTCCTGTCCCAGCGCTGAAAATCTTGTATTCAGAATTTGAGTCAGCATGGAGGAGGCACATTAAAGATGTGCTTTAAAAGTACACAAAATACATTTTATTCAGTATGATTGTGGTGGGTTAGCCTTGGCCAGCAGCCAGGCGCCCACCCAGCTGCTCACTCCCCTTCCTCAACAGGACAGCAGGAGAAAATAGTATGAAAAGCTGATGGGTTGAGATAAAGACAGGAAGATTGCTTACCAGTTACTGTCACGGGCCAGGCAGACTCGACTTGAGGAAAAATTAATTTAATTTACTGTCAATTAAAATAGATTTGAATAGTGTGAAATAAAGACAAAAAAAATAAAACATCACCTTTACTCCTCCACCCTTTTCTCAGGCTCAACTTTAGTCCTTCAATCCCAACTCCTCTACCCGCTCTCCCCAAGCAGCGCAGGGGGATGGGGATCAGTGGGTTATGGGGTCAGTCCATAACCGCTCCTCTCTGCCGCTCCTTCCTCTTCACACTTTTCCCCAGCTCCAGCATGGGCCATTCCACGGGCTGCAGTCCTTCAGGATAAACCTGCTCCACCGTGGGCTCTCCATGAGCCACAGGGGAATCTGTGCTTGGGTGCCTGGAACACCACCTCCTGCTCTCACCTTGGTGTCTGCAGGGCTGTTTCTCACGCTTTTTTTCCTCACTCCTCTCTGCCTGTGTTGCATTTTTGCCCCTCCTTAAATGTGTTTTCCCAGAGGTGCCACCATCTTGTCTGAGGGGCTCAGGTGCGCCCTGCGGTGGGTCCGTTGGAGTTAGCTGTGCCTGGCACAAGGCAGCCCCGACCTTTCCACATAGGCTGCCCCTGCAGCCACCCCCGCCAGTGCCTGGGCACTGGCACCCAACACAGTGACAAAACAATTTTGCAATTTGTGACTTGCACTGTTACCATCACTGATGTCAGATGATATGTTTTTCTAATTTAATCTCTCTTTATTTCAAACAGTACAGAATCTGGAGAGCCAAAATTTGTTCCCCTCTTGTGAGGAAAATGACAAATGTGTTAAATCATTTAGATTGAAGAAAACAGGCCCTTGGTAGGCTTGGGGGTGGAGGGCTTTAAAATTTTTGTCTCTTGCTGCAAATATTAAGTATACTGAACTTACCTATAATGTTTCTTGCTTTTTCTTTCAGACCTAACCGATACCTCCTTTACGACATGGTAGAATACATCTACGCAGTTTGCTTTCGAACCTTTCTTCCCTATCCGCTTCCACGTCCTCTCTACCAGTAAGTGGGACCCTTCCTTCACTAAGGACTTGGGATCCACCAGGTGGCACAGAAGCATAGATAACTGTTGCATTGGTTATTTAATATTGCCAGTTGTTATTTAACATGGTAGGATTGTAGAAACTGACTTTCCCTAGGTACTTGTTAGCTAGCTTTGAGTCTTCTGCTCAGGCACAGGCCTGCATTTGGTGAGCTAGGGTATGAAGGGTGTACTTGTAATAAACTTAACATAACTATTTATTCCAGAGTCATTGAATGGCTTTGCTGAGTCAAGAAGTAGCAAAGGTCCTAAGTAGAGACAATCAGTAGCAAACTAAACGAACTTTTAATAGTACCACAGGGCAAATCTGTGTGTATGTTGCTGACCGTAGGCCCGGACAGATTTTTCTTCAGCAGCTTAAGATATTGCTACCGTCAGCTGTCCTTCCAGTCTGGTGAGCATGGCCACCCTGGAAGCAGAGTTGGGGTAAGGGTAGGTATGGGTATTGATTGACTTTCTAGTTCAGTCCTTTGAACTGATTTGAGACAGTGTTGGAGGTAAGTTTGTACTGAGGTTTTGGCCTGGGAATTTGAGCAGTGCAGTTGTGAGCAAGCATTTCTTTGTCTGTGATATGAGGGCAGTAACATCTTTAGAAGATGGTAATAAATTGGGAGATAAGAAGGGAAAGATGTAGCATCACTTCAGTTGACTAGTGGATGGACTGCGAAGGCTCTTGATGCACTGAGCTTCTTCTGCAGCTGTACATTTTGGCCTCGGGGCACTGAGGATAGAAGCTGAATTGCAGCTACTGAGTAATAGTGCATGAAAAAGTGCAGTATAAATCTGAGCCTGGGCATGGTTGAGATGTGTTAACGTTTGGGGTGCTGGTCCTCCTCAATTTTAGTACAATGCAAACTAATAAGCTAAAAAAGTCACCAATGTTAGAACCCTCCTACCAATCTGCTAATAGGATTGGACATTAGATTCATGTAACTGATGATGAATAATGCTAGAACAACATCTTCAACTGTTGTGGCTGTTTCTGAATTGGCTGTAGAGGCATCGGGTTAATGTGGCTCAGATGACACAGAGTGGCTTGTTAAAAAGTAGCTATGTGGGTGCTTATTAGTTTTATTCACATTTGCTGCAGTCCATGTTATGCTTTTTTCTTTATGAGCTAAACTAAGTGATATTTCATATTTTTGAGAAAAGAGGGCATCTAAAAGGCAGATAAGCCTAGTTCTGTTTATGTGCAGTAACTTAGTAACACCCTACTCTGCCAGGTGAGCACTTCAGTAAGAGATTCTACCTTGAATACTGTTGGTCCTGAGATGCTGAGCAAGAGCTGTAGTGTTATTTTCTTTGCCAGATTTTCTTTCTTTCAAGGGAAACTTCATTTCTGGAAACTGCAAATGTACTAATCCTTATCCTTTTTATAGATGCAGATTGCTCCAGATTCCATCATCTTGTTTGTATGGCTGTTAACTCATTTAGTTGTCAGCAAGCATGTTTTCTCATGAAGGCATTGAATCAAACTTTGTGACTAATTGGATTACTGCCTACACTACTAGGGAACAGAGTTTGGAGGAGAGGCAGGGGCAAGACTGAACCCTCTGGGGTGTGGTGAATTGGACGTGGAGGTTTACTTTCCCCACCCACTAATACTCATTTTTACTTCTAGATATCTGCTCCTCCATTCCCTTCCAAACTAAAAGAATAGGAGATCTAATAATTCGGTAGCAAACAGTTAAAGTTACCAGAAACACAACTAAGAACTTGCTGGCTGGCATGTTCACTGCTTTAATGAATTCATAGCTTGCAAGAACAGCTACAGAATAAGCTCTTGCTCACTGTCTATTAAGTGTGAAATATTTTTACCAGTTCTTGTTTTCTTCTGTGCATCTATGACTATACTTCTGCAATACTCTTTCTGATTACAGTTTAGTTGCAAGATTCTTTGAGATTAATCCATTTGAACCATGGTTAACACGAGACAAAGTGGACCGGGTAAGTGTAGGACAATCCACAAATTCTTCCTGGGAAATGTTTCATTGTGTATTTGTAACTTGTAGTTTTGCATTCAAGGAGTGCTGAAGTGTGTGTACATCATGTGGTGTAGTATTTCAGTCAGTTCAATGGCTAGAATTTGATTATACAGAATTGCTTTCAGACTGTTTGGATACTACAAAAATTTAAATTTTTAAAGGTGTCTGTATATGACCTTCCTCAAAAATGGTTACGGTTCCTGCCATACAATTGCTGCAGCTACTTGTTCTGCAATCTCGCTCTTAGCTTATTTGTCCAGACCTGTTACAGTGACAAGGGGATACGCTGTCAAAGCAGTCTGGAGATTTCCTCTGGTGTAGTCTTACAAAGACTTAGTAAGAGGGAGGGACTAACAGAAATCTTTTTTAAAAGGCATAATGATGATGTAGTTTTTCCACTAGCATTGGTGGAGGAAGAATAGTTAACGTACTTCTCTAAATATGTTTAAGAAAGCGGTTGAAACAATTGGTGAGAGGGTTATGTAGCAAGAAGTAACATGATGGGGGTGGGGAAAGGGCCCAACCTTCTTAAGTGTTAAAAGTGGTCAAGGTGGCATGCTTCGCTGTGCCCCCGCCCCCCTCCCCCAAAACACATGCTATTGAAAATAGCAAAACCAAAGTAGAGAATGGATGTGCAATGTGCAGCTAAGTGATGGGGAGGGTGCTCCCCACTTTTAGGTTAACTAGTGAGTTTATGTACCTCTAGATGCATTAAAATCACTTATACCATCCAGATAATGGTGTTTTTAACAACTCAAGTTGAACTGATGGCGCTGGATACAGCCCAAATTCTTGCTTAACATTAGAGTGCATTTCTCGTGAACATGTTGCAACTTCATGTTTATTCCTAACTTCTCAGAGTGTCTAAGTGGGGGTGGAGAAGTAACTTGCAAAAAACCAACTGCAAGTGAGAAAAAAGTAGGATTTAGCAAGTATTAATGTCAAAACTGTTGGCATATGTGTAGTAGGTTAGCAAAGATAGTCATGTACTCTGACAGTCTCTAAGCTTGCTGCTCTCTGAAGGCTGTGGGTACTCTCCCAACTATTTTGCAGAGTTGGAGTTTTAATGCCTTTTGTTATGACGTGGTATCAATAGCCTATTTTGACCTAATTGTCCCCAAATTAATTTGAGGTAGGGTACTACTGTGAATCTGGGAGAACCGGATCCTATACTTAGAGCTGCTTACTGAATAGCTGTAAGCAATTAATTTCTGTGTTTACATTTTTTCATCTGTGAAATAAACCGGTTTCCTATTCTGTTTGGAAATAACTGAAAAACTGTGGACAGTGTGTGTAATAGAGGAGGTAAGCTTATTCACAGTGTAGTGCAAAACTTCCCCCCCGCCCCGCCCCAAACCACTGACTCATCCCCCATACTAGAGAGAGTTGGCATTGTAGTTCTGTTGGCTGTACTGACCCAGGATGTAGATGTAACCTCCTGAAAACCTTACTTCTAGCTGTCTTCGTAGTTTATAGAGTTACATTTCATAAAATAAGCCTGCACCAAATCACTAAAACTACTGCAATTCAGCTATATCATGGGTAGAGTAAGAGGTGAATTTCTCCATGTCACTTCTGTGTCTGATTGTTCCTCTTTCCCAGCTTTTCATCCTTAACAAATCCACACAAAATTAGATGTGGTTGACTTAAAGACCTTTTCAAGGAATAATAGCATAAGAGAAATCCCCATTTGCTAAGATACAGGTCATATGTGTTGCAAATATGGTAATAGAATTAAATATTTGTCCTGTACAGGATCCTGTTCTAAACCATGAACAGAAAAAAAACCCAACCTACCAAAGGTGATAATTTAACGTACATTTTCTTGACAAAGCAGAATGTATATAATTGCAATTCAAAGATGCCCTTACAAGTTTGGCCTAATTTTGCTGTTACAATGCAGTGATCTTCCCAATAATGTATACCTGATGGAGAGAAAATGAAGACACTTTCTGCAGGTCTCACTGTTATTTTTATTCCTGAATCTAAATCTGAAGCCTGAAGGACTTTTTGCCAGATGCAGAACATCTGTATCTCCTGTCGAAGTACACTGGGTACTCAATACCTTGTATAATTATGCTGTAGTTCTGTAGGGCCACATTGAATCTTTTCTTCCTCCCAAGGAAAAACACTGAGCCAAAATCAGTCAAGGAACTGGGATCAACACACAGTTGGCTGAGATGCAGCAGTGTATTGTATTGCGAGGTTCTTTCATGGGGGAAACAGTCTTACGTCAGCAGCCTTGAAATTGTAGTAGAATTTCCCAAGAGCTGCCATTTGTAGAAAATTGTTTTGAGATGTATTAAAATGTTTCTAGTACTATGGATTTATGCTTGTTTGTTTCCATAAAAGAAAAAAGGTGGCCTCAGGTGTAAGTACACAATACTTTTTTTAGTATGTGAATGACTGCATTGGGTGTAATGCTGTTTATTCTATCAAGTTAATTCCCTTTTTGTTTCCCCTCCCCCGCCCTTCTTTTTAAAGTTTCACACAACAGACATGACGTTTCCTGACCTTCCTGGTTTGGAAGACCTGGGTATTCAACCAACATCTCTAGAACAAAAAGCAATTGAAGTTCTGCGCCGTCACCGCAGATACCGCTGGTTGGATGCTGAGCTGGAGGAAGCAAAACCAGCTAAGACATATCCCATGTAACAGTTGATAAGGTTACTTAACGCTTCTTAAACTGCCTTTGTATGACCCAATTTGTTTGGAGAACTGTGTACATACTGAGTAAAATACATTAATCATGTAAACTATATTTCACCAGTGTTGTCTTTTCAGTTATGGAAGACTGTCATTGAAATGTGATTTTTCTCTTTAAAAGGTCACAGAAGCAAGTTACATATTGTTGCTTAGCTGGTAAGCATTAAAATATTTTGAAGGTTGGGACTGGAGGGAATGTGTCTTAACACTAGTCAGTTTTGCCCTTGGCTCTCAAAGCAAGCATATCACTGAGCTTTAGCAAGTGCTCAAGTAATTTGAAGAACACTGCAGTTCAGGAATATGTGGCCTAGAACATGTCCTTTCCAATAGGGATTGCTGGTACTGCCACCTATTCAGATTATTCAGATAAAGCCCCGTTCTTAAGTTCTTGACTCTTCTGAGCTTTGTTTTCTGCCCTGAGCACAACTATTACAGAAAATGCCAACCAAAATGGCACAAGCTGTTTCTAAGGTCAAGGAGCGTCATAAACAAGTTACTACGTGTCATCTGATCTCTTGTGATAACTTGTGTGCTGTGGCTCATAGACATGAGGAAACATGTCATTTCTTCCATTTTTAAATGCGAAAGTCTAATTATTTTTAGATGCTCAAAGATTTTATGCGCTGGGACATCATCTTTCTCTTGGTAAGAGAGATAAGCTTTGCTTCAGGATTAAATATTTTCAGTCATTTTAAGATCAAAGACAGATCCCTGCCTGAATTTGATCAAGAACTGTGCTTTCTGTTTCCATATCCAAAGGGTTGCTGGAGGCTTTTGGTTAAATTTTGGCAGAGACATTGTTTGCTAGGGTGCAGGTTAGAGCTGAGTAAGTCTGTACACAGAACTGAGAGCAGAGATCTATTCTATGTGCAGTGTTCTGATGGCTTCAAGATGTGAAAGAAGACATTTCTTGAATCGAGGAGTAAGCTCATACTTCTGGGAGTAGGACAAATCACATTAACTAGGATGAGTTGAGATTGGTGGGGAAACTGGTTTTAAACTGGGGATGAGGGGATAAAATGAGCAACAGAACATTTTGTGTTTTCACCTCCAAGCTTCCTCCTACTTGCCTTTGTTGGAAGTGAAATCAGAAGGAAGGAACTGGGACAAGTTGGACAAATGGTTATCAAAGGTAGAAGCCTAATGGAGGGGAAATCTGAGGTGGAGAATGGGATGGAATAGGTGATGAAAAAGGAGAGTAGGAAAGAGAGAACAGAGAGATTGAAAAGAACAAAAAGGTCAAGGTTAGGGAAAGCAAAGAAGTCTTGATTAAATCACACTGATTGCTGGAGCCAAAGATTAGAATCTCACTGTTGCTGTATTGTTGCCAAACTACTGTGAAACTCCTGGGCAAAGTGTTTCTTACATTTCAACAGCTTCCACATTTTGCTCTTCCACATAAAACCTACTGCTGCTAATGTTTACTCTGTTAGGAAGAGGTAGGCTCTTGTGGTAATATGAATTTTTTGATCCTGCCTACTACGTATTCAGTTTGGCTCTCATGAATTGTTTATTTTTCTTTTGATAACAGAAGTTCAGTTGTTTTAAAATAAATCTGCTAATTCAAACATTCAAAAGCTAGGACAAACTGGAAGTGAAGTGCATATTGTTAATAATTTGATCCTTAACTCTTATTATTTTTCTGACTGCAGGCTTTTTTCCATAAGATCCTAACTTTAAATGTAGCCTCATTAGTACTTATTTAATATGTGTGGCCCTAATCTTGATTTATTGGATGTTATTCACATCCTGCTGTGAAAACAATAGTATTTCTGAACTGTTTCACAAGTGCACATAGAGTACAGAGATATGCAATTATCATGATAGTCCTGCACGGCTAACAAGCAGTTTCCATTTTCAGATGGTAAACTGAGGCAAAAAAAACCTGTCAAAGGTAATGCTGTAATGTTAGGTGCCAATTCTGGGAATGCTTACCATAATGCAGTGGTTTTTGAAGCGGGGGGGAACCAAAGCACAGCTTTTCCAGTGGCTTCAGTTGCACCACAGGCTACTCCTACAGGATCTTAATTCAGACAACCATTAGGTGGAGAACATGCAGGTGATGAATACCCATGAAAAGTTTGCTTTAAGCAGCCTGCTCCACATCAGATAGGAATACTGGTAAAGTGGAGTATCACATTAGTGCTCTGCTGCTGCAAGTTTTGTTTTCCACAATACTTTGCCTTACATAGCACTTCTGCTTCCTACCTTGTGGAAACTACAGTGTGATTTCTCATTATTTATCATTTCAAAGCAATTTCTTTAGGGGTCTTGAATGTTAAAAAAAAAAAAAACAAAACCAACCAACAAAAAAAAACCCCAAGAAACACCTCACTTATTTTGTAATACAGTCCAGAGTACAAAATTACTATAATTCAGTTTCGTCAGTGATTTTTATCCCTACTCGTTAATCAATGAGAAGATCTTCCTTCTTATCCTATCCCTAGTTTCTCAGCTTGCAAGAGTTTTTAAGCCAATCTGCAATTTGCAAAGTACTGAAGGTCCTTTAAACATGTCAACTCAAGGCTTGCACTTAACGCCTTTGTGCGGGGTGTTGCTCAAAACGGCACGGAGGGAAAGAGGGGGCTGTTGTTTTCTGCCCTCCCCACAAGAGGTCACTGGTAGAGCAGAAAGTGACAATGATCTTGAAGCGCGCTGGGTTCCTCTACTTTTTGCAGCCTGTCTCCTATTTAGGCTTTGCCATTTCTCATCTCTGTTCCTTGCCTGCACGCAGCCAGAAGGCTGTCCAGAAAGGGGTTTTCAGGTCAGGCCCAAAACTGTGCATCGACAAGTTTAGGTGCAGTGGCACTGGTACCATCTCTGGCTGAAAGGAAACCTGTTTTGGTCCTTTCCCAGCACATAGTCTAATATTCTAATCTATAGCCCACCTTCAGCCTGCTCTAGAGGGTCTTGTGAGAAAGTAGACCCTTGGCAGCATCTGTTTATGGACCAGATGGATTATTTGCATGCCTCTGTGTGTGTGCACTTAGGAGACAGATGGTTAAGGACCAATAAGGGCTGAAGAGTTGGTGAAGGCAATCATACTGGCAGTCATGTTAGATATATGTATGTGTATATATATGTGCGTGTGTGCATGTACATAGATACATATGTATACACGCCCCACCCAACCTTGGACAGTCTGATGGAAAGCGTATGCATTTCCCTAGGACTGAGAAGAAAAAAGGAAACAGTGCATAGGTGTCACTAAAACATCACTTCTCACTTTTGGCACTCGGCTAGCCTGAAAGGAAAAAGCGACACTTCTGCTCAATGTAGTTAACTTGGTTCATGTGCTGCCTTGGGGCACCAGTATATCTTGGCTGACGTGAAGAGAAATTGTAAGGAGTAGGAGAGTATCGTGAGAGATTGTTCTAATGGTAGCGGTCGTCCTCATGTAAATTAGAGCACCTCTATATTTTGAGTTTGTGTGGGAAATATTGATAGCCTTTATCCTTTATTAGGAAGGTAACCGCTAGTGTAATTTTTCAGTATGACAGGAGGTAGGTATGGGGGAAGGAGAAGGAGATAGCAAAAGCAGAAAACTTAACCCACTTTGCTTTTTGAGATCCCCTTGCAAGCAGGACTGGAGGATACTTGCATTTTAGGAACAGCTTGTGTGGATGGGAATAGTATCTGCATCTAAGAGTGGAGGGAAGGATTTGGATCTTATGTTTCTTCGAAGACTGTATGTATCCTAAGCAGTTGCGACTCTGGTTTGGACTTAACTGCTAATTATGTGCATATTTATGCTGAAAATATGATAACTCTTAAATTACACTGTTCATAGTGTATCGCTCCAAGTTGGAACAGGTGACTTGCATAGAATTAAGTCTTCCTGTCTGCTGCTTTATTCTTACTTCTTAATTTTTCTTTCTGGACTTACTTGGGAAGCCTTAAAACTTTCTTCAGTTGCTTAGAGGGCAGATGGTTAATGATTGAGAAGAGCATTCACACTGGCAGTAATTATTCCGTAGTTCTCTCTCTCTCCGTGCTGTTTCCTGTTTTTCCTTTCCCCTTGCCCTAAGTGGTGCGCATGGATACGCATTATATGAAATGAGGAGATCAGAGGACTGCTGTATTTAAAGGAATTCAAAGTGGTGTAAGAACTCCTGAGTAATTCAGGATAGTGTTACTGCAGCCTCTTTGAGGTATGGAGGCAGAAGCTGAAGGACACTGATGAAATGGCAAAGGAAAGCTGGTGGCAGAGCTGAGAATAGAGTGACAGTGTGCTGCTATGGCTTCTTTCTATCCTTTTAATGACTAGTTATAGCCTGGGACTCACTCACCCTAAACACCATTCTCTCTTGAAAAAGCTTACAAAGGTGTAGCATCAAAATTTTTGTAATAAATGAATGAGACCTTTTCAGTAGTCTTGGTTCTTCACTTTTCACATGAATCAGGCTAAAGTTTGATGTTTTTTACAGGGTGTGGGGGGGGAAGGATTATACACTAGTGACGTGAATTTGAAGTAATGTTTATGCCAGGTACATACTGCTCTAACTGTTAGGGTTTCTGTAGCAGGGGCTGTAGGGCTGCCCTGTGGTGGAAGAGGCCATGAACTGATATACATAAGAAAGAGCGTTAGCCCTTAAGGCAGGAGACACCCAGAGGGGACTGCTGAGGGGCTGCAGACGCACTCTTGGAAGGAGACACTTCTGAGGGACTGTGGCCCATGGGGGGGACACGCCGGGGCAGAGACAGCCCTGAGGGACTGTGGCCAGCCAATGACCCACACTGGGACAGCAATGCTGGGAAGCGTGAAGAAGCTTGGTATTTTTATGGAAAGGAAAGCTCCATATGCTAGTTATATGAATTTGAAGTAGCGCTCACAACAATATGTGCACTAGGCATGACTTGGCAGGGTTTTGGTAGTGGTGAGCTGCAGGCATGACCTGTGCGGGAGAGGGCTGTGAAGTGCCCTATACCAGTCACAATTGCTTCCAGCCAGCTCAAAAACTGATGTAAAACCCATTTTTTGTGTTTTCATATTTTTTAATTAGATTCACAATTCCCCAGCTGCTAATGACCAGGAAACAGAATTGGCTTGCAGTTTATTCCCACTGTCTTTGTGTGTACATGTGCTTTGTTGTATGACAGGCTTTCTGACATCTACCCAGCAGCCCTGCACTTCCTACAGCATCACCCCAGGTGCTCTCTCAGTTCAGGTGACTGAAGCCAGTCAGGTTACACAAGCCAGTGAGAGCTACATGCTTTCTCTGACATTGATAACTTGTAGCAAGTGAAAACACCTGTAAAGCTGTACCTTATCAGTTCTATGACTCATTAGACTGTTAATTACTTCATCTGAGCAGTCCTAGCTCTCAGTCAAGTAGAGGCAGTTTGAAACAGTGCATTTGGAAAGAGGACTCAGTGCAGACCCAGAACCACGAACAAACTCCAACCAGCAGCAAAAGGCTGAGTTTCTTTAAGCTTACAATGGCACCCTGGAAGAGACGGCATAAAGTTGCACTGTTACTCATGAACGTAGGTTTTGTGTGTTACCTGATGCACTTACAGCAAGATCAAAGAAAGGGAAGACTTGATTCCTTGGATGTTAATCCTCAATCTCTGAACAAAGAAAATAACATCCTTCAGAGACTGGACCATTTGGACTGGACCATTCATAACCTCTGTAAGTAAAATGCCACGCTGCTTAATTTTTTGAGGATTAGGTATCGAGATTTCCTGAAGGACAGAATAATAGATAGCAGCGAGAATGTTTGGGTTTTCCTGGACGCTTTTGATTGTATTGTTTTTGTGTTTTGGGTTTTTTTTCTTGTAATCTTGAAAAAGATTTGATAGCTTGTCTACTTACACACAAAACAATAAAGTCTTTCGCAGTCATCATGCTGGTTTTTTGTATATTTTGTATATTAGACAGTTCCTGACTCTGAACTCTTTTAGAAGTCTTTAAGGTGGTGGTTGTACCAGCATACTCATCTCAGGTGGCTATTATTCCTGTCATTATTTTGTTTGCCATAAAAACCTATTTTTGAGAGAAACTGGAAATGCCCCATTTCCTCAGCCTCTGTCTCTGCTGTGTGGGTGAGCAACAAGGGGAACTGTGACTCACAGAGTCTTTTTCCTTTGTGTACCTTGAGCATAGACACAATGGAGTTGCTGTGGGGAAAAGGCATTGATGAACTCTGCATCACCTGCTCGACTGGACCGTGTTCCCAAGCAGCATTAGCTGAAATCTGCTGCTAGGACTGTTTCTCTCTCATCCCATGATAGTGAAAGGCCAACAACATCCCAGCAGATGTGCTTGTTTATGAGCAATATTAATTTAGAAAGGGTCTTTTCTTTCTCACAGCAGGCTTTGTGGATTTTCACCTTGTTTTCAGGTATCTGTTGTAGGTTGGACTGTTGGAAGTGGGCACAACAGAGCCATCTGAATAAGGGCTGAAGAATCTACCTCCATTTCCTTTGGACCCCTTAATTTTCCACTTCTTTCATGATGTTTGAATCTCATCACCTCATGGCAGTGGTAGGAGGGCTAAAGCAGCCAGAACTCTGCTGGCTGGCATTGCTTTGACTGTCAAGTTGTCCACATGTCCTCACATTAGAGCTAGATGTGTGGTAGGTAGAATAGAAGAAGAAACTTAGAATCTGTCTCGATCATCCAAGCCTGAAACTAGCTGTTTGAAATGCCACTTGGGGCACCCTTGAACTTGATGAGGAATTTTCCCTGTACAGCTTGGTCACATTTAATATCCCCTATCCCATAATGTCACTGTTACTGCTGACAGTGTCTTCACTGGCACCTATTCTCATGGACATCAATAGTTGAGCATAGTTTTTGTTGATTATTTTAGAGCTATTTGAAAGAAAGCTGAATTCTTCACTTCAACGCTTAGTTGTGGAATCACATAGTAGTTGAGGTTGGAAGGCACCTCTGGAGATGGTCTATTCTAATTTTAGCATCATCAGCTAGAGCAGGTTGCCCAGGACATTGTCCAGTTGGGGTTTGAATATCTCCAAGGATGGAGACTTAACAACCTATCTGGTATACCTATTCCATTTTTCGGTCACTCCAGCAGTTAAAAAGAAAGAAAAAAAAAAAATCTTATGTTTAAATGGAATTCCCTGTATTTCAGTTTGTGCCCACTGCCTCTTGTCCTTTCACTGGACACCAGGAGAAGACTCTTCCTCTGTCTTTGTTAGTCCCTCTCATAAAATATTTATATGCATCAACAAGTCTGTCCCCCCTCACCCCAAGCCTTCTCAGGCTCTCTCAGCCTCTCCTTTTATAACAGATGCTCCAGTCCCATAATCATCTTAGTGGCTCTTCGTAGGATTTGCTCCAGTATGTCCATGTCTCTCTCGTACTAAGGAGGCCAGAACTGGACACAGTACTCCAGATGTGGCCTCACCAGTGCTGAGTAGAGGAGAAGGATCATCTCCCTCGACCTGCCAGCAACGCTCTTCCTAATGCAGCCCAGGGTACCGTTGGCCTTCTTTGCCACAAGGGTGCACTGTTGGCTCGTGTTCAACTGGGTGTCTAGCAGGACCCCCAGGTCCTTTTCTGCAAAACTGCTTTTCAGCTGGTGCTGGTCCATGGGGTTGTTCCTCCACAGGTGCAGTACTTTGCACCTACCTGTGTTGAACTTCATGAGGTCCCTGCTGGCCTATTTCTCCAGCCTCTTCAGGTCCCTCTGAATGGCAGCAGGACTCTGGTGTATCAGCCACTCCTCGCAGTTTGGTATCATACAGAGACTTGATGAGGGCTCATTTATTGTATTTACCTTCAAGAACAATATGTCCTAAACCACCTCACACAGGCTATCTGTGCCGTTTCTTTATGGAACAATATTGTCTACCTAACAAAACCTTGAAAGATTAGAGTTCACCCAGTTCAAATCTTTCTAAGTGGAAGTCAAAAGATTCCAGTAAGCTTATTAAAGGAGATGACAAAGTGCTCATTTACTGTATTTACCTTCAAGATCAATATGGTATCAACAACCTGACTTAGATGGGAATCCTGTTATGGATCCTTAATACGTTAATGTAACTCAAGCATAACATCAGGGAAATTATTTGAGCCCAATTTAACAATTTTTGTGTTGTCTTTACTCCCAGATTTCTCCACTGATGCCAGTGCAGTGTCCCTTGCTCTGCGCTTGTGCAATTGAGAGCAGAATCTGATGCAGGGTATTATGAAATGTGATGTTTAAAAACTGTTCTCATGTAGGAGAGAGTGTCTGATGCTACTCTCATGTAAATATCAGTTTAGCTGTAACTTCACGGATCTCTTGACCTGCAGTGTTATAAGGAGAATTTTGCTCAGTTATGATGATGGAGAGTGTTCTCAATTGCTGTTATAATCAATCCTTTTTTATTTTCAATCAGCAAAATCAGTGGAAGCATTCCATGAAGATATAAAACAAATAGAACATGTTCTGAAGCTGCAAAATAACTTCAAGACTGGAACCCAAGTGCGCAAAGCTGATAACGCAAAGGAGGAAAAGAACATTGCACACCGTTTGCTGTACCCAGACTCAGTTTTGTTCAAACGCTGGGGTGCAGATTTAAGGGAAGAGGAGCAAACTGTTGCACAGAATCTGTTCTTAAGTTATGGGTATAATGTTTACCTCAGTGATCATCTACCTCTGGATCGACCTATCAGAGACACCAGATCTCCCAGGTGCAGTATAAGCCCCCTCTGCATTCACAAGGAGACATGAAATTAAAGGGAAAGGGATCCGCATTGCTTTGGACTAAGTTAAAATAATCTGCTAACAGATCTCAATTTGTGCTCTGTTTCTTTAGGGTTTTTTTCTATCATTTTCTTCCAAATCTTGCTCAGACTTGTAATACTCCAAAGACTGTGAAAAGAAGTCATGGTGTAGAGAAGGCACTTAGGAAAAAGAATATAATGCTAACATTATATTTGATATAGGACTTCTAACTGTCAGTAAAAAGGGGAAAAACTAGCCCTAGTATTCAGAAGATATGAGACCTTCTGGTCTGTTTACATTCTATTTAAGCCCCAAAGCTCAGGACATCTGAAGCATGCTTTCTCTTGTCTCTTACGTTGTCTTATGTAAGCCTCTTATATGCTGAGAATATCCAAAGTGGTGTTTTTTAAACCCACCTCCCTCCTTGGGAAATCCCCAAAATATAATCAATGTACAAGTAACCCCCTACATTGTAAAATTCTGTCCTTTTTAACAAAATGCTTGTTTTTCTTAGTTATGTTGCAGACCATAAGTGGGGAATACCAATACTGCTTATTAAAAGATGATTAGAAATCAAACAGGAGAGGTGACTGGAACTAATTATTGGCCTGTGAGTCTCATGAAGGGTGAGGAAAGATTCAGCACTTGAGCTGAATCCTTATATTATCTTTAGTGTTGTAGGCGTAGCCATAATGGACCGGTGACCTTGGGAGTTTCCTAATAGCCTTATTTTCTCTCTCTGTTTCCCTCTCAAGTTATCAGATAGTCTGAGGACTAATTACATGGAAAATATAGTGGGATAAACAGCTAAAGGATTAAGACGTAGATAAGTAGTCCACTTCATAAGAGGAAGTTTAAGGGATTTTTCCAGGAATTAGTTGGTTCTTGAAGCCAATAGATAATATTTTTTAAGCAGACCAGTCATACTATGGGAGCTGGCATAAGTAACCATTAAAATCCTCATTAGGAACAAGTATCTGTTAAAAAAGCAAGCACATTTTTTTCTGTATAGTATGTTAAGATACTATTATCTTTTGCAATAAATTGTGTAAGCTTTACAGGAACTAACTGGTGTAAACATGGCAGAATGTCACAGATACACTGCGAGCCCACACCTTTGTACCTATGGTCGCTTGTACTAAATCTGACTGAGCGTTTCAGAAAAGGGGGTGGGGGGTAGAGTGGATTGCAAACTGGGCGTGAATTAACAGTGTCGCATTTGGGAAAAGGGGAGTTGTCTTACTGGCAGCCCTCTGGAAGATGTAAAGAGCAGGTTATGCAACTGAGTCCTCATCATACTGCTTGGATGGAGCTGGTTCCATCTAGTGCACACAGTAATACGTTGCCCTTGACTGCGGGTGTCCTCTGGGTCTTGGATCAAGCCATAACTCTGGCACATAATGAGAGTTTGCATGCGTTTCTCAGTTCATGGTGTCTGAAGAAGTGTGAGGGCTGTGTAGGAGCTTCCAGAGTGAGTTTGAGGGGGCTTTCTGTGTAGCGTGTCTTGGGGTGCTCAGGCAGAGGGTGTGGAGTTGTGTGAGGGCACAAAGTGGTGAGCCGGCCACAGATCCTCCTGAGGCAGCCCTGAGCCGAACGATGCCCACCCTGCTGAGGGATCATTTTGGGGAGAACTGTCTGGAGTAGCCACCACAGAGGTGGCTGGAGCAAGTGCATGATTAGTCTGTGTGGTCCTGAAGAATGGCTGCAGTGCCTGGTGCTCTTCTGCTTTGCTATGAAGATGTATTTGCAGAGACCGCCTTTTGGAGATATCCACTCAGGCTCTTGCACTAACGGGTAATGGAGAAATTCCAACAAAAATGCAATCCATTTGTGCACAATTGCCACTGTAGAGGTCTACTTGGAGCATGAGCCTGGGTCTCAGAGAGCTGCATTACGTAGCCACACAACTCATGCAGTCTGAGTATTGCTTTCATGAGCATGTTTCTAAGGGGAGGGAATGATCAGCCTGAGAATCCAGCTACGCGCTCCTGTCTGCTCTAGAGGGAGTTAGTGCTTAGCACTATGAAGAAGACCCAGTCCTCACCATCTGCCCAGTGGCCAGGACGTTAATTAGCAGAGCTGACAAATATCCCAAATATATACTTAAAAATAAATAAAAAAATCTTTTGACAGTAAGCAGGAAGTCCAGAAGTATTCAAGCTAGCACAAAACAAGTTTGTTTCAGTACTGGAAACAATTAATTCTGGGGTAGCATGGAGTTCCACAAGGCCTGCTTTACTCCACAAGAAGGATTTTTGAAGCTCTTTCAAGAATTTCTAAAGACATCCCTTGTCCAAGGGAATCCTTCTCCCATGTCAGTTAAGTATAGCTAGATCTACCTTGTTCTTCTTCATTGCACATACAAAGGGATCATTGTCTAATTTGCTTTTGTCTGCTGTCAGGTTTGGCTATTGTCATCACCTTCTGTAAATGCAAAAAGCCAAATTTCACTCACATGTTCACTACATGTTCATGTAAGCTAATCATCCCTAGCTGAGTCAACTGTATTCTTTAGTTTCAATATTTTATAAGTATTTTGGATTGAGAAACAGTAATTGTTCTTTCTTATTGTTTTAACAGAAATTTTAACTTTACCCAAATGATTTATATACATACATAACGCAACTCAAATAAATAATGAAACTTGGATTTGGGAATTCCTTTTTTTTGCTCTTATGCTGATTTTCACTATAAGTTTTAAGCCAAACATCCTAATTCTGCCTTCTTGCAGCTGCCTTGCTCTCTGGTGTTCTTTAGAAACTGTGCTAAAGTTATTCTTCTTCTATTACAGCTGTAAAATGAAAACATATCCGAAAGACCTTCCAACACTCAGTGTTGTACTTATATTTATGAATGAAGCACTGTCAGTCATCTTACGTGCAATTACTAGTATACTTAACCGAACACCTTCTCATTTATTGAAAGAAATCATCCTGGTAGATGATTACAGTTCAAATGGTAAGTGACCCAGGGAAGGCAGGAGTCTTGCTAATCTATGCCGCTATTGTGTTATATGAATGTTGGTGGCTTTTTGGGTGCACACAGAAAAGACTGCTCAAAATTAAGAAGTAAATTGAGTACAGGAAAAAAAGCCCAAACACCTTAATAGCCTGAAAAAGGCAGTTAATAAGTAACAGGATGATGCTCTGCAAGTATTTGAAAAGGTTAAAAATTGAAGTGGGAGAGTATTTATTATCACTGGCTCATCAGGCACAGTACCAAAGTAAGAGTATGCTAAGAAAACTATCTCTGTAGGTATCTGAAATAACTCCTTGGAGAGTGGTGTCTTGGGTTGTGGAAAATACTCCTAGGGGAAGCAGTGGGTGCATCATTGCTCTTAAAATTGAGCTGAACAAAGCATTGTAAAATCATCTCTAAGAAACAGTCATGCCCCTGATCTTAAGGGTGCTCTTTTTTTTTCCCCTTGCCTGATAAGATGTGTTTGATTTCTCATTTTTCTAAGGCTTTGTAGCTGCTAGAAAAACATGTCAGTTCGGGTGGAGCAAGAGTTCAAGTGAATTTCCAAAGCGATGCTAAGGGGTCCCAACTTTCTATTCCTTCTCTCTGACACTATTTTTTTCTTTGGTGAGGGAGTTGGCATGCCTACAGCTCTTATAGGAGCATTTCACATTTTCAGGGCTTGTTTATCTTCTCTTTTCCTTTCCACATGGTAGAAGATACACACAGAAATTACTGCACTAAGACCACTAATTGGTTGCCGTTATGGCACACGTCTAAAGTTTCTACATACTGATGTATTTGTGTACAATTTAGAAGCCATACAATAGCACTATATGTAAATGAAATTTAGGTACTTAACTGAACTCCTGGAATGGAAGCTGGTTTTAAAAATAAGCCTCTTGAATTCATGAATACCTGAATAATTCTACCTGTTCTATTGCAAAGAACAAATCAGGTTTCAGTCTGGAACTGGGAGAAGCTAGAAAGCCATTACCTACATAATCTTTTCCATTTCTTAATATTGATTAACTCTTTTTTTTTTTTTTTTTTTTAAAT